GTCGGACAGCAGAGTTGACATCCCATGATGGGCCTTGCCTGGGGGCAGCCGCACCCCCCGAAGCCCAGGCCCGGCTCACGTGGATTTTATTTGAACCCAGTGCTCCACGCAGTCGCCAGGTTTTCTGAGCTGACAGAGCTCCAGACCGGCTTTCAAAGGTGAGACGCCCAGGGGAGGAAATGCGCTGCCCCCGTCCTTTACAAGAACACTTCAGGTGCCCCTGCCATGCAGAGTTTCGGACGTGGCATGTCAGGGCTGAGAGTGTGGCATCCATGGCACAAGCCCCGGCCTGGCACCTGAGGCCTTCGTGTCGAACACCAAAGCCACGCCTGGCCCTGAGAGTCCCCTAGGACAGCCTCCCCGTGAGCACACGTCCATCTGGGGCTGAGGCCATGCAGGGCAGCAACCCTCTCGGGAGCCTGCATGAGACTCCCCCCAGTTGGCAGCCATGAGGGGGCCACTGCCTCCAAGAGGGACCCCTGAGCAAATCCATAGGCGCCGGAGAGAGGGGCCCGCCTCTGGGAGAGTGGTTGCAGAGAAGACCCCGCTGCACGGAAGCACACTGGGACAGAGCCATGCAGCCTGTGCATGACCAGGAGGGCCAGCGTCCCACAGACGTGGTCGGGAGGCACAGGAGGTCCCAGGAGCCCGCGAGTCCCCATCAGTCAGACGAGCATTGGGCTAGGTCACCTGCAGCGTCCGTTTCTCACTGGCCCCTCCGTGGGGCCAAGGTCACTGTGATGTGGCTGCCCTGCCCCCACTCTCCCCTCCCCCAGGGCAGTGAGTCCTCGGGCAGGAGTCGTGGATGCGCCCACTGTGCCCCCACCCACCCCGCGGAGAGGACCACACCTTCACGCCCAGCCAACAGCATTCGGACGAAACGACGTCCTAAAACCTTGCTCTGGCTGAAGCCTCTGTTACCTCCATGAGTCAGAGCGGGGCCCAGCGCGAGGCCAGGCAGGGCTCTGAGAGAGATGGCGGTAAGTTTGCGTGTTCACTAAGAAGAGGGCAGTGTGGTCTTGGTGCACGTCCTCACGCAGACGAGCTGTTCGTTTTCTTGTGGGACCTGGTCTTGAGTGGTGTGTGTGTGTGTGTGTGTGTGTGTGTGTGTGTGACCGTGCATGTGTGTGTCACTGCGTGTGCGTGTGTGTGTGACCGTGCGTGTGCATGTGTGTGACTGTGCGTGTGTGTGTGACCGTGCGTGTGCACGTGTGTGTAAGCGTGTGTGCGTGCACGTGACTGTCTTTCTCCCTCAGCATCGGCGCCGTGGGCCAGATGGGAGGAGACCACGTCTCCGCGGTCCCACTTTCTCGCCTCGGGCCGTGTCTCCCTGCGGAGCCACACGAGTGTTCCGCGTGTGCAGACGTCCTCGTCTCTCCAAAGGCGAGAGCACCGCGTTTCTGTAGGTCAGGTTTGTTTTCTCCATGTTTCCGTGACTGCGGGTGCTGAGCCCCCCCAGGGGATGGGGTTGGACGTGGGAGGGAGAAGCCCCGCCTCGTTTCTGTCTGTCCTGAAATGCTTCTGATGTGTTGCAGGGGGAGTCAGGGCAGGAGGTTCTCTGCTGTGTTGTCTAAAGTTCCTGTTCGGAAAAGTTGCTGATGTCACAAGACAATTTTTGGAATCTGTTCATAATAAGTTTTTCCTTTGTTTCATTGGATTTCCATGGATGGTGCTCATAGATTTTCTGATTTGCAACAGCCCGTGCATTGCTGCCAATGCTTGGTTTAATTGTGAGGTGTTAGGGTCCTGCCCCATCACTAAGTCCATCTGCTGACGGTCTCCCCTGTGGCGCTGGGCTATCGGTGTGTGCCGTTATTTGTTGCATTTTGACGTTTTGGCATCCCTTCAGATTTTGATAACAAAATCAGTCTGCTTTGTAAGATAAATTGGGGAGCTTTGTCTTTTTCTGGAGTTTGACCAATACTGCCCTGAACTTTCCTTAAAGTCTGGGGAAGATGCCTCGTGGAGCTGCCTACACCCTCCCTGGCTCCCACAGAGCCAGCCCCCTGACCATCTGCTCTGCTGAGAAAGTTCCAGAAAGCCTGACCCCCCCCCCAAGGAAGCTCCTGTCCCTCCAGCTCTGGAGCAGCCACAGTGCTGCCTGCTCGGCCCCAAGTCTTCCCTGTCCAGAGGCCCGGCTCACCTCCCCCCGCTCCCTGCAGGCCACTCCCTCCTCCCCCGATCCCTGAAGACCACTCTCTGCTCTCCTGGAGGCCCGTCGCGGGGCTGCCTACGGCATCAGTCCTTCCAGAGAACCAGCTTTCGCATCATTTATCCTTTCTATGATGCTCTTTTGTGTTCTACTCCATTAAACATGGCTTCCATCTTATACTAAAGTGTTTGGGCACAATTTGTCCCTGTCACTCTTAAAATATTTGAAGATTTTGCTTATTTACATTGATCTGTGTCATTCTTCATTGCACAGGATGGCATTTATAACATTTTCCCCACATGTGCTTTCATCCTGGCTCTTAGCCATCCTGGCATGGTCTCCTGGTCCAGGTGTCCAGCCTGTTTGACTGCTTCTTTCGGGGGTCACTGTGTGTGTCAAACCATCAATCCCTGTAACAGTCAGAACCAACTTGGTGATGCTGTGGTAACGAGTAGCACTGTGTCTCCAGGGATCAACACCACAGAGGTTTGCTTCTCTTCCATTCTGCACCTGCTCCCTCCAGGCCACCACCCTGCATGGGTCATGCTTCTGAGCTGCTTCAGTCTGTGACACCTTCACCCCAACACCCCTGCATCTTCTACAGCACATTTGTGGATATTATTTTTCAATTTTATGTGCATTTGTTTATTTGTCTGTGGACTTTTAAAATTCTAAGATTGAAATAGCACACTCAGTTTTTTTCATGTCATTCTTGCATTTATAACAGTTTTTGCTTCATGCATTTAGCATACATTTGGTTTTTTGCTGGATTCACCATTTTGCCTTCTATTAATAGATATTTAACCTTTCCATTCTGTGCAATCACTTTAACTCTACCCCATCTAAAAATAACAATTCAATTCCTACTTTCCTTTGGTTTGTATTTTCCTCGTGACAGTTGTGAATTTCTTCCATTATTTTTCTTAATTAATTATTAATGACATATTACTTACATATAAGAAAGTGTAGCTCCATCAGTTTTCACAAAGTGGGGCACATACGTAACCAGAGTAATAAAGAGGACATCACCAACAGCCCAAAGCCCACTTCTCTGCAAACTTCCCAAAGAAAACTCACATCTTAGCTCATGCACACAGATTAGTTTTTGAACATCATGTCAGTGGACTCATAAAGGACTCCAGATATCCTGCTTAGTTTCTTCTGCACAGCAGCATGTTTGCGAGGATCGTCCACACTGCTGAGAGCAGGTACAGACTGTCTGTATTCATTGCTGCACAAGATTCCACTCTGTGAATATTCATCCTTTCCCAAGTCACCCACCGTCCCTTCTGGAGACGGACACCAGGGCTGCGTCCTTCCCACCACCATGAGCATGTCCTCTGGGGACACACTCCTGCTCTTCATACCCCTAGAAAGGGCATTGCTAAGTCACAGACTGTGTTTTTTTAACACAAAAACTGTCATCCTTCCTACGGTGGTTTTACCATTTTGTGCCCCTGTGAGAGCTGTCTTTCCACGTCCTCTCCACGTGTGGTGCTGGCTCTCAGACACTGACCTCCCTGTCTGCACCCGCTCCACCCCCATCACCTGCCCAGGGCATGGGCTCCATGCAATACCCCTCCCTATGCCACTAATGAACAGTTAAAATGCAGGGGGTGGGGGGGAGATGGGATATTGAAAAATACTTCTTAATCCAAAAAGATTACAAGAAAAGGAAAGGAAACATAACCTAAATCGTGTAGAAAAATAGAAAATAAATACGTTGACAACTATAACTCAAATATTTTAGAATTAAAATGTAAATATTAATTAAAATTGTCAGGCGAAAATAAAATAAGTACAACTTTATGCTGCAAAAAGTTGACGCAATTTAAATGTAAGAACATAGAAAAACTGAAGTATAAGGATGGGGGGAAAATACAACCACAAACCCTGAGCGAGAGAGAGCTGGTATAGTTCAATTAATATCAAATAAGGTAGGCTTTAACGCAAGAAACATAATAAACAGAAAACATTTTGTAATGACAAAAAATGTTAATCTATCTGAAATATATAACAAAACTCAAACTCAGTTGCATACATCTTACAAAAATCATAAAAATTCATAAGTAAAAAATGATGAAATTAAAATGAGAATCAGTGAATTAATAATCATAGTGAGTATCTTTAACAAGCCTCCCTCAGCTATTGAAACAAAAATCATTAATGACATAGAGGGGTTGACAAACTAAGTCCTATGGGTCAAATCTTGCTTGCTTTATATTTTTATAAATAAAGTTTTATTGAAGCAAGCAACATGCGTTGGTTTATGTATTTTCTATGGTTGCTTTTGCACAAAATAATAGCAGAGCCACCTAACGGCAACAGAGCCTACATGGCTTATAACACTTAAAATACTGCTACTAGCCCTTTTCAGAATCGACCACACGTTGGGCCATAAAGAAGTCTCAGTAAATATCAAAGACTCGAGTGTTCTAAGTGTGTTTTCTGACCACAATAGAAGTAACCTAGAAAGCAATGAGTTAAAGATATCTGAAAAATGTTTAAATGTTTGGAAGTTACACAATATACTAATAAATAACCCACAGCTCCACGAAGTCATAAAGAAATTAGAAACTATTTTAAATGCACGATCATAGGGGCGCCTGGGTGGTGCAGTCAGTTGAGCGTCCAAGTCTAGATTTCAGCTCAGGTCGTGATCTCAAGGTCATGAAATCCAGCCCCACATCCGGCTCCATGCTGAGCGTGGAGTCTGCTTGAGATTCTCCCTCTCCCTCTACCCTTCCCACCCTGCTCTCTCTTTCTCTCTAAAAAAAAAAAAATGTAAAAATAAATATAAAAATAAATAAATGCATGATCATAAAATGTGTTTAAAAATTCAAATGAGTCAATTGTAAGTCTTACTGGTTTTATTCATTTATTCCAACCAGGCTGCACCCAGCCAGCAGATGGAAAGAGGCCCCGAGGAGCTGTCCAACATGAAGGACTTCTACAGCCAGAAGGGAGCGGGCACGGGGAAATTATCCCAGGCAAAACAGGGGCTTGGTTATCGCAAGCTCCCTTCCTTCAGGGGTGGGCAGGGGTCTGCCAGGCCAAGTACCTCACCAGTCCTGACCAGGCAGTTGCCAGGTGACTGGCTTAAAATTCCAATTTCAGGGGAGCCAAAACTGTAACTCCCTCTAGGTTTAGTGACATGGCCCTTAGCACAAGACAATCCATTTGGGCCTGTTGTCTTGTTTTTAGCAAATGCAACTTATTTGCAGCTAAAATAGTAACTAGAAAGAAATAAATATCCTTAAGTGCTTATATTACCAAAGGTGAAAAGCCAAAAGTCAATAATCTAGCTCCGTGTCTCAAAAATTAGAAAAGGTACAGCAAATTAGACTCAGAGAAGGCAACGAGAAAGAAGTAAAGAGAAATCAGTCATCCAACAGGAAAATCAACCAAGCCAAACCTTAGCTTTTTGAAAAGTCCTATTAAAATGATTAACCCTTAACAAGATTGATAAAAATATACAAGTAAAAGGCACAAGTTACCAAAATGGATATCTCTGCAGATCCTAAGGAAATAAAATAGGCAATAAAAGGAACTTATGCCAGTCAATTTGACAAATTGGATGAAACTGATCCCTCTATCCACCCCCCCAGAAAAGCACAACCTACCAAAGCTGACATAGGAAAAATCAGAAGATTTGAAAGCTTTAGTATCTAGCAAATAAGTTTAATCTACAATGGAAAAAAAAAAACTCAAAAAAAAATTTTTCAGGCCCAGACAGCTCTATTAGCAAATTCATCTAATTATGTAAGTATGGATGGTAGCAGCTCCTTGTGCAATGTCTTCCAGAAATAAGAGAAGAGGAAGTGCGTCCAAGTCAGGAGGCCAGCGCAGTCTTGACACCAAAACCTGACGATCGTTTACAACGCAGGAAGACCACAGAAGGACTTGCCTCATAAGCGTGTGAACTGAAATCCCAAACAAAATATTAGTAAATTGAATTCAGCAATTTATAAAATGTAGAATACATCACGATCAAGCAGATTTAATTCAGGAAATGCAATAGTAGTTCAACATTAAAAGAATTAATTAATGTGATTCACTGCGTTGACAGCAAAGGAGAAAATTCACACAATCATGATGGAAGATCCAAAACATATTTGATAAATTCAACATCTACTCATGTTAAAAGCTCTTAGCAGACTAAAAATTGAAGGTAGCCTGTTATAAAGCTGTAGTAATTAAGGATGTTAGTGTCCGCGTAGAAAACTGTACTCAATAGATTAGATCAGGAGTCCCAGGACTACCCATGCCCATGTGGCCACTGAGCACAAAGGGGACCTTGTAGCTCAGTGGGCAGGTGTGATCTTTTTGCAAAATTTTTCTCATCGATTTGGGGGAAAGACAGTGAATCTTTACTCCTGCCTTATATCATCCTGAAAAGTTAATTCCGGATGGATCATAAATCTGAATTTTGTGAAAGACAACACAAAGTGCAAAGATTGCAGAGAAAAAACAGAGGAGAATATCTTCATGACCTTCCATCGGACAGAAATTTTTAAACTGGGCCCCCAAAAAGCACTCACACCACAAACAAAATGTATATATTGGTAAACATTCACATGAAAAACTTCTATTCTTTAAAACACAGCTCTAAGAGCGTCAACAGGCAAGCTGAAAAGAGAAGATACTTAAAATACTTCATCAACCATGACCTGTAGCCAAAATCCGTAAAGAACTGCTCAAACCAGGAAGACGGAGAAAGGCCGGTCCGCCGAAAAGTTCAGGTGCTTCACAAAGAGGGTGCCTCATGCCCCTGAAGGCTGAGGAGAGAGCCTCGGCCCCACTGTCTTCAGGACAACGAGTTAGTCCCCACGGGCATGACCACTCACCCACAGATTGGCCAACTTGAGAACAGCAGAACCACCCAGTGCTGGGGAGCATGGGGGCAACCGGAATTCTCAGCGAACTCTAGTTAATGCAACCCATTGGAAAACTTTCAACCTCTCCCCAAGATAGAAACATACCCACCCCACGGCCAGCAAGTGCACTGTTGGGTTCGTTCTCAACAGCCACATGCACAACACTCCCCTCGAGATGTGCCCCAAGGGTAGAAGAGGTCAACAAAGCATCCACGATAGCTCACAAGTGATGCTACACACAGGAGCATTCCCAGACCTTACACGAATATCGAGCAGAAGCCACCAGACTGAAGATACAAACCGTAAGAGTCCAGCGATCAGTTCAAAGGCGGGCAAAGCTGATGACGGGGTCACGATACCACGCACTGTGTCAGGGAGGTGCTGGAGATGCCCCCAGCTCGTTATGTGGCTTCACTTGGTGGAAACCCACGAGCTACACTCAGCAGCCCCCTACCAGCTCCTCGGAAGGCCCCTGCAGTGAAGCCCGCCTCCCTCCCCTGGCCCTACCTGTTCCTCTTTCCCAGCCCCAAACCAGCACCACAGACAAAAATGTGCTTCCTGTAGCTGATGAGAACAAGGTCATCTGTGCCCTCCTGCTCAGGGTCCTGCAGGGACGCTAGCCAGGTGCACCCTCACTTTCTCATTCTCTGTAGGGAGAGGTACCATCTTCTACAGGGAAGCCACCACCTCCCGGCCGCGCATGGTGGTGCTGCTTGGGGGGGGAGTGTTTCCCCGCTGATCACTGCCTGTGTGTCCCTTCCTAAACAGCCACATTTCCTTGGCCCATCTTCAAATATTTTTCACGTTTTTATTTTGATTTGTAGAATTTCCCAGGTAGAGTAAATTCATTCGCTGTCACATAAATTTCAAGTATTTATCTGTTGCCCTTTAATTTTGTTTTGCTATACAGAAGTCATCAGTATGGACATGTGTGGGCAGCACATTTCGCACATATTTTGCTGTGGGTGCTGTGTCTGGAGGGCCTTTCCCAACCTGTTCTTGTGTATGGTTTTTAAATATCACCTCGCAAGAATATTGTTTCTCATTTACCTTCCTTATGAGAATTCTTGAAATATTGTTTTCACCTATTAACTGCAGAAAATACCATTTTCTGTAGCATGTCCTCAGACCAAGGAGACCTGGATGCTAGAGCTCACCTCTCACTCTCTCTAACCACACCCCCTCCACACCCCAACTAGCTCCATGTGGTCTAGCCTGGGAACTCAACTACCAGTAGGCGGGGAAGATACTCAGCATTTCAAAATGACTCATAAGTGGGCTCCTGAACCACAATCTCTTGTGAGTTTTAGGTGGTTTGTCTAGGCTCCGAGGCCATCAGTGACTGTGGGCGAGGTCTTCTCTGCTTGTTTCCAGTGACGCACACACTCCCACCCCCCCAAGCAGCACAGACTAAGGGGCAACGCTCCTCGCCAAGCTTCCCTACAGCAGGTGAAGCAGTGACCCTGTTCTGTGTGGCATGGTGCTCCTGATGTGGAGATGCTCCCACTATGAAGGACCCCGTGCTGGAGAGTTGTGGCCACCAGCTCTGTCCTTCCCCCCTTGCCTGGCCTGCTGCCTTGAGCAGGGCTGAGTGTCTGCTTGGGTTCTTCTTTTCCTTCCCACACCCATTCCACTACAGACTCAGCAAGCAGCCAGATGAGGCCCCGCGTCGAGGAGGGGGTGTGGAGGGGGTGTGGTTAGAGAGAGTGAGAGGTGAGCTCTAGCATCCAGGTCTCCTTGGTCTGAGGACATGCTACCTGCACCTTCCCACCCCCCCGTCACGGCCCCCCCCACCTTCCCAATGAAATCAATTATCTAATTGCTACAGTCAGTTAAAAGTGAAATTAAATGGATTCTGAACATTAATAACAGGCTGTAATAAGACAAACTACCTCTTAATGATGCATAGAACGCTGATGAAAATAAATTTCTTTTTGGGGCGTGTGTGTGCGTCAGGTGGGAGAGGGAGTTTTATCTGCTGAATTGAAATGAATATTGATTGCATGGCTGATAATTAATGATAGCAATTTTTGATTAAAAATGAGTTCATTTAGCAAACAAGTGGAGTGTGGGAGCATATTACATCTAAAAATAGAATTGAGAAGAAAGGATCCTTGTTACAGGGGCAGGATTACAATGCCTGTTTTGATCCTCATGCTGATGTCTCTGGATTTGAAATGAGCATAGCCATTCAGGCACCTCCAGGACTGGAGTCCTCTTCCTGCCCAGAATACCCACGGAGAAACAAAGACCAGCCAGGAATCACTGGCAAGACTGAGGCCACGGGAGAGGAGCCATGAGTGAACCAGATATTTCCCTCTGGAAATCCTGTGCCTTAGGGGGATTCAGCAAAAATAGGACAAAATAAAGTATGAATCTCGGAAGTGTTAAACTAAGAAAGACCTCCCACCACCACAGGGCAATCTCATCTGTGTTTATGTTTAACACACATGTGTGCACACCTCACACGTGCAACACATCACATACATGTATGCACACACTCTTGACACACAAGAAATAAAAAGCAATGTTTATGTGGCTAAGTTCAGAAATAAAATGAGAAGCCCTTCTGGTTCAGAACAGCTAAAATGCACTTCTTCTTGCTTCGTTTTGTTGGATCACGTGTGAACACCCCTTGTAAAGTCAGGCCTACACTAGCAACAGGGATCAGTTAATGGTCAGTGTCCAGGGACAGGGACCTGATACTGCCTGGGATCGGCCATCAGTTAGCAGGACAGGGCAGGAAGCCGTGCTCAGCTCTGGTGTCCTGTGGGCTTCCGGGCTGTGTGCTTGGAGGGGGACAGGGTCTGGGCCCTAACGATGCAGATGCAGAACGGAGACACCCAGAAAGCCAGGATGCCCAAAGGGCAACAAAACAAAGTAAGAAGAAGTGCATGAACTAGAGAAAGGCTAGTTTCCACAGGAGAGAGTTGCTCTTCTCAGCCATGGCTCTGAGTGAAACAGAAAAAAACAAAATGAAATAGAGGTTCCAACCCTAGAACGCACACCACTGAGAGTGAACTGGGTGTGAACCTGCCGGTCCATCGACTGTAACACACACCCCATCCGGTGGGGGTGGTGGAGGCTGGGGAACTGTGCATGTGGGGGCAGGGCTCCACAGGAAATCTCTGCTCCTTCCCCCCAAGCTTTGCTGTAAACTAACACTGCTTTTCAAAAAATTATCTTTTAAAAAATTTTTAAAAACATTTTCTAAAAGGTCCCCCTGCCTTGGGCCCCAGCATACCCTCACCTCACACTTAGTCCAAACACACTTAGGATGGTTACATTTGAAATTCACTTTCTTGGGTTGCCCCCACAAAAAAAGAAAAAGTAAAGGAAGGAAGAAAAGCCAAATATTTAGTTTAAAGAGGGCTGAACTGGCAGTGCCACAGAGCAATTAGCAGAGACAAGCTTGAAACTTACCTAGAGGGTTCTACTTTGCACATTATTCAAGGGAGCATGAGATTATAATTAAAAATCACAAAACTCATAAAAGAAAAAGCCACCTGAAGTGTGAGTCAAGGGAGGGAAAGAAATGCAAAATCAGGCCAGCAAAGCCTGAGGATATTGGAAGCATCCAATCCAGAATTTAAATAAGTGTATTTAATAAGTCCAGAGGAAGAGAAGGAACTGAATGTACAATGGGGGAACGAGGGGCTGTCAGAACTGAAAGGAGCATTTGTAAAAGAAAGAACTAGAACTTCTAGCACTTTAAAACAGAACCGTTGCAATTTAAAACAAACTGCCTGCTCAACGCAGCTAAGTGCAGTGAGAGAGCATCACTCAAAAGTTTCCCAGAGCAGCCGAGAGTCAGACAGGTTGGAAATGGGAGACGGAGCAGGAGTGATGAGCATCAGGGGCCACAGAGGGAAGGAAGGGGGGCTGTCCAGAGGGAAAAGATGGAAGGGATAGGGCAAAGCCCAGGGAGAGGAGGGGGGGAGACGTCAGTGTCACATCCGAGGAGCACTGGGAGCCCGAGTAGGATAAATCACACAAGTCCACACCCCAGCACATCCTGGTGGAAATGCAAACCACCAACTCAGCACAATGTGGGGACAGCCAGGGAGAAGGGACGGGTCCCCTGCGGCAGGCTCTGGACAGGCTCCTCCATGGCAGCCCTGGAGGCTCGAAGACATGCACTAAGGTCTTAGACGCACTGAAGGAAATACCTGATGGACCAGGATGGTAAGCCTATGACAAGACGTCAGCGAAGGAGAGAAAGACGGCGGCATTTTTAGGATAAAGCTGAGGATTTGCAATCACTAATTGCATCACTATTGAATTTCAGAGGCATGTATTTCAGGAGGATGGAAGATTCCGGAAGGGAAGTCTGTTAGCTGCTGGCTGGCATGTGTCTCTCTCTAGTTTTGCTTTCTTTTTCGGACCCAGCAGCAGCTGACAGAGACCGCTCACACACGGTTGGCGTCAGAGAGTCCCTGTGTTCACTGCCCTCAGCTGTCCTCAGCTGTCCTGTGGCTCATGCCCTCACTGCATTCAGGGTCCTTGCCGATGTCACCTGGTCCGAGGGACCGTCACTCCCCAGCTCCTCGATGGAATCTCGGGCACCAGACCACCAGAGAGGCCGGAAGGTAGGCCCACTGAGGCAAAGGCAGCAGGACCACCTCCACGGCCCCCGCCACCAGCTTCCCCTGGAGCACACTCACGTCCACCCCCGACAGGCCTTCTCCTCACTGCTCTCGGGCTGGTCCCCAGCCGCTCCTTCGCCAGGCTGCCTCTCCCTCTGGCCACAGTCTTGCACCTGGGAGCATGCCACAGCCTCCGCACCCCTCCCACAACCTCAGGGCTAAAACGCCCCCCAGCGCGACAAGAACAGCGACTGAGCGCGCATGTGGGCCAGGCGCTGCTCTCCGTGGGCTGTGACTTTATTCAGAATCAAGAGCGTGAGGAGTGAAGCACATGCAGGTGGACACAGAGCTGGTATTTCATGGAGCCCCAGGCTGCCCTACCCAGAACCTTCGCCTGCAGAGCTAATGACGGACAGACGGTGGCGGGAGGGAGGGAGGGACAGACGGGCAGGCAGGTGGGTGGCATGTTTGATTTTATAGGATTAGGCGGATAATAAGGTGCTAATTTACCCCCAGGGGATGTGTTCCTGTCTGTGCAGGTCCCAAAGGGCACCATGCACTGGTCAGGCCTCGGGCGGAGGACGGTGAGCCCACAGACACCCCAGGGCCCCTCTCCTTTGTTGTTGCCTCCCTTTACTTATTCTCCTGCCTCGCCCCTCCCCTGTCTCCATGATGCCCGCTGGCTTTCTGGGCCCCATCCTCATCTGGTCTCCCACTCACAGCAGCGGACGCCCGGCCCTCTTCTGCAGCAGAGACTCTGCGGCCACTGCAGTCCTTCTGTGACCACGTCAAAGAGCTAAGGATCCCCCTTTTAGACCATCTCTGACAGCCACAGCCACCCCGTCGGAAGTCAGAGCTCTTCGCTGGTGGGAAGAAGAAGTGGAGAAGTGAAGATGTTAGTGCAATCAGCCGGACGTCCAGGACGCTCCCCATCCTTGGGCCATGTCCACCTTACCCACCGAGCCTCCCGT